CTGCCGCCGCGGCGTGAGTTTCTGTGGGCGAGCTGAGGGCAGCAGATGGATTGTTCGGGCCTCTAGAATTGCGTGCGATGAGGATATGCGACGGATTAGTAGACATAAATGTGGTCAAGTAGAATGCAGTCGCTGCGAGACTCGATAGCTAAAGCGCATGTAAGTAATTACTGAGTTTCCTTATCCAGCATGTGATACTGCAGAATCCAGTGGCAGAAAGCCATGTACGATATTCAATAATCAAGCTGTACATGAGGAGATAACGGATGGAATACACAGGAGTACAGCGGACAACAAAGCGAGTAATAGCAATGGGGCAGACGGGATAGTGAAATACTATGTGGTATCAAACGGACAAAACGAGTCCGAGTCGACATGACTCGGGAACAACCAAGATGCTCACAGTCCAGATAGCAATGTGAATGGGAAGCAGTCCAAGGATTATAGGCCCATGGACGAGGCGACAGAGCGCGCGGCAGAGCCATGCCGTTGGCGTTCCCATAGTTTGTCCTTCCCGCGTACTTCGATGTTCTCAAAGGGTGCCGCTTGCGAAAGCTTGACGCAGTCGCGCGTGCCGAGGACAAGCAGCTCGAAGAAGAACGACGCTGCAGCGCGGCGAGATGCCTAGAGAACAACGACAGAAACGCTCGGTCAGCCGGAAGACATTCGACTTTCAAGGTAACGCACCTTTTCCGACATCTTTTGGAAGCTCAGAACTTTCTCCTCGTCTTCATCGTCATCGACAGAGGGTTGCAGTTCCTTCCGGACAACGCTGAGAGCTTTCACAGTGTTCTTGCTGTAGCCCTTGCCCTCCGCGCTGGAAGTCTCCGCATCCTTCTCCTGCGTCTGCGATTGAGTCTGGGTGGGCGACGGGCGGGAATCAAACATGGCGATGGGACACTCGAGATCTGCATACGACTCGTCCACCTCGTCGAGATATCCGGCACCCGGCGTCGAGAGCCTGCTTCTCTCTGTCATCTCGCTCTTCGCCCGCTCAAACTCACCGGCATCGCCGACGTCCATTTGGAAGTCATCCATACCCATCCCGGTGTTGTCAAAGTCGAGCCCGGGACCAGCGCTGCCGCGTCCAAGCATGTCGCTGCCCATGCCGATACTTGGCGCAACGCTGCCCGATTTCCTCCCCTGCTCAACGTCGTCATCGTCCTCGTGGACGCTGCCATCGAGCCTGGGTTTTTTATTCGACGCCTTGTTAGGCGACGCATTTCTGCGTTTCGGCGCGGCAGGGTTGTGAACAGGGCGCATGAAGAGTTCGGATAATTCTGGCGCGAGGCCAGGGGGTGCAGCACAGAAGAAGGTGCCTTCGGGAGTAACTTTCGTTGGCAAGAAATGCGCTAGGGGGTCGTCACGAATTTCCAGGAGGCGCATTACAACGGACGACCGCGGGAGGAAATGATGTTCAGTCAAGATGTCACTGACATCCTTCACCATTGCATCGCCGAGGCCTGCATTGCGACCGCGCCCGATGCGGGCACCGGGACCATCTTCAAGCTCGGTAACGGCGTCAATGATCTGCTTCTTCTCTTTTTGCTTGCGTTTCGCCTTGGCGTTCTCACCCTCAGCTGGGGCGAGATCCATGTCAGGCGGAGTAACAGGTGCGGGGGTTAGGCCTAAGAAATCCATCAGGGCTGATACAAATGAGAAATTTGCGAAGAAACTCACTGCCGCGAGATGGGGATCGCGTTTGACCGGGAGTCTTGTCACCTGGCAAAGGTTCGTCTCCGAAACTCAATCCAAGGTCAATGTCCATGTCCATGGGTGCCGGCCCAAAACCCGGGTCCATGTCTACGTCCGCACCATATGGGTGCTCTGAAGGGTCGCGACTCCTGTTCGAAATCATGTCGAAATCGTCGTCGCCGGGCCTTCCAATAAGATGCGAGTCCAGAGAGTGTCTCGGAGCGGCGGCATCACGACCCATTTCAACGCTCATGTTGTCATCGTTCGCATTAGCGGGTCCGTCGCCAAAATCAAGCCCGAGGTCAAAGTCCTGTGAGCCAATTCCGTCAGCGGGACCCAGGTCGAAGCCGTAACCTGGATCGTCAAGGTCGAACTGGAAATCGTCGGCTGTCGCGAGCGTGATATCGGCCATTCGTGCTACGTGCTGTCCCTGGGGATGGACGGGGCGGTCCTCAAAGTCCAAATCCCTATAGGACACCAATCAATGTGCAGTTCCGCGCTGAACGTACGGCGGGGTCTCACCAATTGATATCCGGTAGAAGTACGTCTAGATCGAGATTACCGCCTTGGAGGGTAATTGCATTGCGGTTGACCGCCAGTTGGTCCTCAGTCATGTCGACCATGCCGGGACGAAACGCCTGTGCAGGAAGACTGAGCCATGGCGGCCTTCGAGAAAAGCTCCCAAATGACGCACCATCTTAATCTTCAGCAACGCCTCATTACAGTCATCCAAAAGATACTTCGCTTTCCGACTGTATATTCTGACAACACCGAGCAATAGCTGCCCGCTGAGACGAAGCGCCATGACCTCGACCTCCTGACCCATGATCGCGTCTGCCACCGCCCGTATCCAATCAATACTGGGCACCTACGAACTTTTACGCGTCAACTCACCGACTGACTGCTCGATATCCGTCTGGAGCGTCTGTGTTTTTGAGAGCTTTCGCTCCATGTGGGCGGCGAGCCATACTTTAGCTAACGGCCCGCGGCGAGATAGGATTGTTTCCGAATAAAACTGAGAGATCGCGTCAGAAAATAGCGACCGCAATTCCTTAGCTGCACACGCACCATTATCCAAGAAGAAGAGGAGAGAAAAGAGGGGGTGTCGCGGTCGTGGCAGGAGGAAACGCGAGAGACAAGAAAACGACCGCGTCGCACCGCCGTGTTCCTGTTTCGGCGTGTTTGGCTCGCATTGTCGGAACTCGGAAATTATTTCCATCTCTTTTGCGCGTCCAAGCCGTTGGTGGCTACCTAGAAATGCTAGCCTCTTCGTCGCGAAATACCCTCAAAAGAGCGTCGCAGAAACGATGCACGGACATAAATGATACGGGCGGCTATTCTGGATCTCTGTCGCTTGTCTTTTCAAGTCAGTTTCATTCCCGGGACACACTGGACACCGCTCACGGCCTTTTTCATGTATAGGATGTACCCAGACACGCAACGCGCACCTGGCTCAGCGTTTGCAGAGTCGAAGAGGGCAGGCGTCGAAGGACGAGTCCACAAATCTCCGCCACAACCCTTGGACATTCTCACCCGACAGCTCGTGGAGGGGAACGCTGACACGCGCCCCCCTTGCGCGTCACAACATCGAGCTATCGCGGCATGCCGAATCCGGACGATTTATCGACGCGTTGAAAGTGTGCAAGGCCATGAAGGAACAGGGTGTCCAGCCCGACCTGTTCTCTTACAACTACCTCCTCGCGGCGTGTGCGGAGAACGGTTATAACCTGGAGGCATGGGCAATATTCGACGACATGAAGGAGATGGGAGTCAGGCCAGACCTCACCACATTCCACCACTTGATTCATGTAAGTATCGTCGCTTTTCCACGGAACCTGCTGCTGAACCGCGTCAAAGGCAAACCGACTCCACAGGGGCAGCGTCATGTGGGAGGTTCTCGATACTATGCAACAGTACGACGTCGAACCAACGCCAGTCACGTTCTCGTATATCATCGACCGTTACCTCTCGAGCAAAAATCTGGAATTATCCCTCCAATACATGAAGATTATGCATGGCCGTGGATTAGTCCCCGAGCTGCGAACCGCGCAAGGAATAATATCGCTGGCTGCCGACCTAGGTCAGGCACGACTCGCACTTGATCTAGCAGCTACATTCGAGGATATGTCTGTCCGTCGATTGGACAATGAGGTTTGGGTGAAGTGCCTAATTGCCTCGGCTCGGAGTCTTCATGTGCGTGTGCACGCGCGCAGAATCGTCCATGCTTCTAACCCAGATTTAGGCCGACGGTGTTCGCGACATATGGAATATTGTCGTCAACGACCTTAACGTCCAACCAGACGAGGGCCTCTGCATCGAAGTCCTGCACACCGCCGCACGGCACGGCTTGCCCGACCTCGGCGCGGATGTAATACGCGTTCTCAAGCTTATGGGCGCGAAGCTGCAGGAACACCATTTTGCCCCTATCATCGAAGCCTTCTGCCACAGCGACAGAGTCAAGGACGCGCTCGCCACGCTTCACATCATGCGGTCCAACGGAATCGATCCCGTTCCCGAGACCACCAAAGCTATCCTCAACGTTATCGGCAAAAATATCGATACCGTGGACGCGACATGGGCCATGCTAGACGCGTTGCGGGAAGAGAACAGGCCCATCGACGTCACCGCATTGAACGTGATCATCGAGGCGGCCTTGAATCTCGAAGACATCCAACGGGCGGTGGGGACGTACAAGGTGTTCCCCGACCATGGCGTCAAGCCGAACATCGACACTTTCAACCTCCTCCTCGGTGGCTGCGTCACTGTCGCCCATCGCGAACTCGGAGATCGCATGATGAAGGAGATGAAGGACGCAGACCTCAAGCCGAACCGGCAGACCTACGAGCGCCTAGTCTCTCTCTGCTTAACGCAGGAGAACTACGAGGATGCCTTCTTCTACCTCGAGGAGATGAAGGCCCAGAAGTTCCTCCCTACGATTACTGTCTACGAGGAGCTGGTGCGGACGTGTGTCCAGGCGCAGGACTCTCGATACAAGCTTGCAGTCGATGAGATGCAAGAATGTGGCTACACGGTGTCGGCCGAGCTACAGCAATACATCGATGACCCTCCAACCGATCCTGCTGCGGGGTCTGTGGAGGTGGACCGCGATGTTCCACGGCCGGGACCATAGTACTTCGTGCGCACATCTATATCGTATCTAATAAATAACATCATGCATGCAACACTCTGCTCCTTCGGGCCAGTTGTTCCAAGTTCCCGGTTCGTCAATGGACGTTTCACTGCGGCTCACAAGGGAAAAAGAAGAAACCTGCGCACAGCGATGTTGTGCAAAATGGCAAAAGTACAGGTCGTGCCAGGGATCGAACCTGGATCACCAGAAGATCCTCGCGTTTGCTCAGAATCTGGGGTGATAACCATTACACTACACAACCGTTGGCACTCATACTGAATCAAATGGCTATTATCTGCAGCCGACATCCTCCCGCAGTGGCTGCATAGTTTATTTCCAACCCATCTTTCGTCTCCGCTACCACCATGTATTATGCGCCGCAACCTTCATCACCGGACGACCCTGCGACGCCCCCACCAAAATAAGACTTGTCCACAGCATGAACTTGTCCAATCACGGCGCTCTTTGATGTTGTCATTCAATTGTCCTTTACAGATTCTTCGTTGCGCTAGACGCCGCGGATATAGCACCGAAATTTACTTGCAGCTTGTACAACTGGAGTCTGGGACGGAGCTTCCAGGAGTCCTTTTGACCAGCTTGAGTTGCACTTACAACCTACTTCAATTGCCACTGACAGCAGCTTTGCTAGCGCAGCTCTACTACACATCATGTCTAGTGTAAGCATATTCTAAATTTGTTGAAATACTTATACTCATTGTCATCACACAGTGTTCTACATACAAGAGGCGAACGAAAGCGAAATCGCCGACCCTATGCCTCCGAGGACCCCGACCAAGCACTTTTTCGTGATTTTTCCGCAGTGTTTCAAGATTTATAAACAGTTTGCGTCGTTTCCGCCCCGTTTCTTGCACTTTCTCCGTAAATCGATTTTTGCTGGCATGTGTAGGCTCCTGTAAAGAGGTCCTCAAAATATGGAAGCCCCGAGTGCCTTAGTAAATAAGATAAATAGGATTCCTCGACGAGCTACAGACAGCGGTCACCGTGGATGTTCGTTCTCCACGATTTCCATCTCAAACGCTATTCTGCGCATCTGGAACTCTGTTCTGTATATGGATAGAGAGATTTGGATGTCAGACACCCCTCGAATCACCAGGAGAGTGAGGTGCCATGGCACGAGATCTGCCCTCTCCTGCAGCCTTGTCCATGTCAACTACACTCCAAATATGTGATATTATGTACAATAGACCACTCTGAAGGTAAACGAGGTACTCAAGGAGTGATTCCTATGAGTACTCCAACTTGAATCTGCTCAAACCGTTCCAATATCACGAGAACACATGCCAAACTTGCAGAAATGAATGTTTAGCAGCAGCATATTAAGTATTCACTTGAACTGAGCCTTAAAAGATGAGCCCCCGTGTCTCAGAGCAGTACAGGCATGTTATTACTGTCGAAACCTCAAGAGACTAGTGGCAATAACGAGCGAGAACATGTATTTCCAGCAGTGTGAGGAGGCAAGATTTCGCGCCACCCGCAGAAAATAACGCGACGCGTCTTGACGCGTGAACGAAAAAGATTCTCACGGTTTCCCTCGAGCGTTTCTCTCGATAAACAGTCTGAGGAATATCTATACCATACTGAGTCTTTTTGGTCTCAAATTTTACCTGGACCTATGGAGTTCGGACCACTGCAAGCACGAGTGAAATTTTTATGAGCAGGTAATATAGTCAAAATGTCGCTGTGCAAAACTCGACGCAAGGGCCAACGAAACTCGCCGATACAGGACCCCGGTCACTTAACCACTATGAAGCAGTGCATGAGCTTACCAATCATGGAGGCATAGGGTCGGCGATTTCACTTTCGTTCGCCTCTTGTCTACATAGGCATCCCGTTAGGGCCTGTCTAATCCGGCCTATGGGCGGGGGCCTCTCCTCCAAATTCATTTGTGCCACTGCTAGCTCGGAGCCGCTGTAATCAGCTGCAGTCTGTTGCGAGTATAGCTTCCTCCACGTCCGGTATGTATGGCCTCATTAAGTGCAACGTAACTATATCTTATATGCCTACTTCACAGGTAGTCGTCGACGAGGCCGTGCAGGTGCACTAATGCTGTTCGCCGCAGTAATAACGAACACCGTTGTGGAAGACATAGAACGTATTGCACGACGTGGAAAATACTCAAGTACACTTCTCCTAAGTTTGTTCGCGTCGACTCCCTTTCATCCTACGTCTTTTTGAACACCGCAAGCTGGTTGGAATTAATATGGGTTGCGACTCAGGAAATAGCAGCAGCAACGGGCCGTCCGACTCCACCGGTCCCTGCTAGCAATACTATGTGAGCGCTTGAGCACTGCCAGCGGTTCATTCGACCATCAGCTAACTCGGAACCAGCGCACAGAATTGCCTCCAGACGGAATCCGACATCACCGAGTCCTAGACATTTCGGCGCGGGTGGGGCTGGAACTTTCTACGATTCTCGCCTTCGCTATCGTGCAACGTGTGTATGACCGCCATAGAAGAATGCCCGTCTCCGCTTGCTTGTCTCCTGTATCTAATAGCGGACGCGATAGGGACAGAACCAATCTCTTAATTTGTGGCACACCATTGGAAGGCATTGCCCGGACACAGTCCTCCTATAGCCCATGCGCTGCAAACCCAAGCAGAACGGAAATGGAGCATGTTCCTGAGCGGCTGAGGTCTCGGCACAACCCTTGTATGAATCCATGGGAAGGAGCATAAATATGCCAGGAGCACGCCCTGACGGTGCACCACAGCTGTCCACACCACCTCACACCACCTGCCACTTGGGTCGTAAGTTTTCGTTTCTGTATTGTTATATATGGGCACAAGTGTAAAAAAGGACCAACAACCACCCCCGCTCCCCCACCAGCTCTGCGTTTGATCTGTACAACACAACTCTGTGCGCTTTCTACCCCACACGTGCGCCACCCGCTTGCGAACCAAGAAGACCAACTTCGAGCTTCAAAATGCCATACGCCTACGTCGTCTCAAGCGCCAGGTCCAGCCGGCTCCTCGTCGTCCCATGGCCTGAAGTTAGATTTCCTGAAGGGCAGCGAGTGCAGCCACGCCGGCAGGACGCTTCCATGCTGACTCGGAGGCGGTCGGTGGTGCTGCAGATGATTTTGGTGCGCGGCAACGGCGTGCACATGCGCAGGCGACGACGGTATGCTGCTGACATCACTCAGGCTCGGCAGGCGCTCGTAGCTCGTGTTCGTTGAGCCCCCTAACACGCGCTGCAGCACTTCCCTCTCCGCCGGCGACGGCGCAAACGCGCGCAGAAGGGACGTGTTCGTCGACGGTGCAGCGGACATGATGTGCGGTCCAAGCCCGGTCGGGTTCAGTGCGTCGTAGGAATGGCCGCCGTCGAATGAGCTGCCGCCATCATATCCACCGCTGGCATCGAAGGGGCCCTGTGCCTCGGACTTCTTCAGGCTGAAAACTTTCGCATCCGGATTGAGGCCTTTTCTCGGCTTTTCCTTGGAAAGCGTGGAGAACCAGCGGCGGGGTACAGATTTGCCTATGCTCAGGCGGTCGCCATCTACGTAGTTGTGGCTGGGACTGTGGTCATGTGTGCTTGGATCAGAGTGGGTACGACGCTGCAAGTATTCAAACGGAGCGTAGGTGGACTCCGGTGCGAATTGGTGCATTCCGAACTTGGAATCGGAGTCATTGAAAGACGGACCCGTAATGGAAGTTGGGGACGCTGACAAGTGCGAGGCAGGAGTATCGTAAAGGGGGGTCGGGGCTGCATTGAAGCTGCTGCGCCGCCAATCCGGGTCCACGAAGGCATCGCTCTCTGACTGGAACGATCGCGAAAGGTTCTCGCTGCTCCGGCCGTCGAGGGATTGAATAAGGCTGCTTGGAATCAAGGCAGATGACATGGGCGACAGTGAGTCGCCCGTCCGCGGTGCGTCGTTATCGGCAAACGGGGAAAAGTTTGTGGTCTGGGATTGTGCAAGAGATGCAAGATCGTCGTCGAAAATGGAGTACCCCTTGGAGCGAAGGGCTAAGTGATTGGTCTCAGCCGTTTTGGGGCTGAAGTTCGATAGGCTCCCGAGCGTAAGTTTCGGCGGCTTAGGCGACTTGTGTTCAAGAGACTCTATCGAATCAATGCGGTGACGGCTGGGGTCCACGGGAGGCTGGAGCTCGCGATCCAAATATTCCTCGCCGTATGCGATAGGCGCCCACGCATTCGACTCTTGGCCGACAACTTGCATTGGATAGAACGATTGGTCTTGCTTACGGATTTCCGCCTGCTCGCGTGCCTTTCTCAGCCTCTCCTTCTCACCCGAGATCCTCTCTTCCAACTCCCTCGTACGGGCATTCAGCGCCGCAACGACGTCCTCCGCGACCCTGATTTCGCGCTTCTTGTAGTCCAAAGCCTCGCATATCTCTGCCTCCTCTTTCGCCGCATCCGCCTTGACTTGCTGCGCCGACGACGCATCGTCCGACAAACGTTGCTGCAACTGCCCGATTTCCTTGTCAAGGTACACCATACGCTGTCCTGCATCATCGCGCGCGCTCTGGGCCGCCTTGAGTTTCTTCTCGGCGTCCCGCTTCGTGCTTTCCGCGGCGCGTTTTGAGTCTTCGAGGGCCTTAGTCTGGGACTTGAGCTCCGTTCTCGACGAGTCCTCCTGGCGCTTCTTCTCGCGGTACGATTCGACCTCGTTCTGAAGTGAGAGGTGGGACTCGGATGCGGCGTGTTGAAAGTCGGTGAGTTGGGTACGAAGGTCATGCACGAGAGTTTTCGAAAGCGAAATTTGACGCAGAACATCGGCGATGAGTGGCGACTGCTCGAACAATGCGGAGGGCGTTCGCGAATGAAGGGGCGAGGATATGGAGACAACTGGCTGAGGCTTGATGTGGTGACCGTTACTGGGAGGACGGTCAGATTGCGCATGCTTCTGATCTGACTTCGTAGGGCGGGTCGTGTGCAGGGGCAAGGACGCCGATTTCGGGAGAGGGGGAGGCGATGAATCCCTGCCGGTAGGTGTTCCATTCCTCTGAGACGACCGATCACGGTTTCGGAGCCTAGGAGGCTCCCCTCGCGCAAGCATGCGAGGCGATGTGGTCGAAAATGGTAAGCCTAAAGTATAATGGTTTAGTTCATAATCGACTGGATGTTTCAATTCGATTGACCGTTGAATTCATTGCGCTGGTCCAACGCCTTGATTCCCAGTATGCCAGAACTCCATCCTTCCTCGTCCTTAGTCCCGCAGATGATGTCGCGGTACCACGCCTCAATCACGCCGCCCCGCCACCATTTCCCAAACGCACCGATGA